CACGCGCTAGCTGTTCGCTTCTTCACATTTCATCTGCTCTTATGTGATTTAAAGGAGAGAAGTCGATCTTTCTCTGATTCACTGTCCAGTTTTCACAATAAAGTGGGCAAACACCCTTAAAGGCTGTCAAGACACTCATAATCACTGTTTGCACGATTACCAACTGGCGGAGTGACTTTCGATTCCTGTCACTTATTGTACCTTTCTGTCCTAATGTGGTTTTTATGACCACGCTCTCAGGAAAGATATCAGAAACCGTCTCGTATAGTCTGGTTAGAATGCTCTTGGGTTCAGCATACGCACACGTAGTAGTTCGTCCTTTTTACTGTCCACCACTGCGTGTCCGTGACTTGGTCATACATTGATTTTAATCGAGTGGGACGTGTGCGCCACTCGCCTCTTTCTCCCTACGCACATTATGTTTCAGTAGCCGGTGAAGCTACACTGCACATATCCTCTTTTGCGTGATCGATTTTGGTACCAAGGGATATGAGCAGGCTCCGATGACCCGTGTGTCATATGACCTCTATCAGCAGCTCAGTTGTGCCCTTACAGCAGGCCATGCGCGAGAGACATAAGACCAACACAGGGGCTAGACAAGTACTCGGCACACCTTATTCAGGCTGCCTCTTCATAAAAAATGTCACATGCAGGAGGTGCGGTGATACTCCTAGGCACAGACTCACGCTGTGCCAGCCAGCCACCTGCACCCAGCTCCCACATCAGGCGACTGACCAGCTCGGACTATGAATTGATGCCTGGGAGGAGATAATGTTGACTCTGGGACCGTGTCTCCGCGATAATCAGCGCATATTCTCTTATAGACAACGTAACGTAATTACACTGTCATTTAACCAGCATTTAGTGAAAAATATATACATTGCCTCTTCTTCCATCCTGAGTGTTCTCCTTATTGAAACAACAGCTTATTCATCCTTTTATTTATCCCGTCCTTTACTAGGAGCAAAAGGTGGACTCCACTGCCTTTAAACCAGAGGTAAGAGGTGGAGCCTTCGAAACGTTTGAGACGCCGTTCGGTGTGGGTGCAGCCGAGGGTATCAACCGCGGAAAGTACGAAAGCTCCTGGGTCGTGGAGACTGAGGTCCCTGAGGCTTTTGAGGTAAATCCTTCACAACCTCCTTCCCCCCCCTCCCCGTTTTC